GACAGGCTGGCTCGGTATTTACGACGACGTTTTAAGATGGAAAGGCCTCTCCCCAGAGCTCTGTGCTTAATTACATCTTTCGGCTGGGACCTGGCTTTCTATTAGGAAATGAATTATTATTTTTTCAGCTGCAGAGGCTGGCGAGACCCGACTCGGAAGGGGTGGGTCAGCGGCCTCCCTTCGGCACCCGAGGGCAATTGAGATGACACAGAGAGGGAAATAACACTCGAAACAGAAGATGAAGGCTGTGAATGCTAACAATACCTGGGGGGACCCCCATGGAAAAGGGCATATCCTGATTTGTGGAAGGAATGGGAGAGAACAGCTCCCATTAACACCTCCTCAGAATGCAAAACGAAGTTGCACTTCTGTTTGTTTCCATATTTCAGGCCACGAAACCTCCGGGCGGGCTGTGACCGGTCCACCTGTCCTCAGATGTAGGTACAAGGGAGGGGCATCTCTCCACAGGGCTTGGAGGAGAAGGGCTGGAGGGACGACCTGGAGCGTGGAAAAGTTACTTTTTGAATCACGCCTCTTGCAATCCCTTGGCCATCGTCACGGGACCACGCAGAAGCTGGGGACGCCAATGTTGTTGGTATGGTGTGGCTCTCTACCTTACTAATAAGAGGGAGAATCCCAGCTCCTAGACTGGAGAATTCAGAGCATACGGCTGTGGCAACAGAAATTGAGAGATATTGATGCTATTTTGTAATACTGGCTTTCTGCCACTATGGGTCGCTATAGTACAACATGCTCACCTAACAGGCATCTAGTGGCAGGTGACGTCCTAAGTACTGTATATACAGGAGAAAATACTGTATCTTATTCTACAGAGAAGTTCCAGAGAGTGACTTTCAGACGTTCTGGCTCGCCAGCTCTGCTCAGAAATGGCCAATTGCTTTCCACCAAGAGCCAAGAAGAATGTGCTTGCCTCTCAGAAATGAGGCAGGAGGTGTGTGTGTGTGTGTGTGTGTGTGTGTGTGTGAGAGAGAGAGAGAGAGGACTCAGAGGTTCTCCACTGCTCTTAAGACCAGTTTGTAGGCCTGATTGTCTCAGAGGAGGAGGACAGCTTCCTCGAGGGCAAGGGTGACCTCAGTGGTTGCCATGTCTTCTCTGCAAGGTTGGAGCCTGTTATACAAGCGGCTGTGTGGGAGCCAGAGGACGGCCGCCATCTCTGAAGGTCAGGGACGCAACTTCTTTTCAAGCAAGAACAGACGCTTCTTCAAAGGCACACCAAGCGCGTTCTGTCTTCCGGAACACAAAGAGGAACAAAGAACCCCCCCCCGTCCTTCCCTTTCTGTGCCCGCTGCCCACTTCCAGCGGGTGAATCCTTTTCTCTCACACAAGGCATAGCGGAGGATCACCACTTTTCTTTCTTTTGTTTTTTTCTTTTCAAATCATGCTCCTTTTCTCCCATCCCTCCTTCTTTTCCCCTCCTTGGGTTTTCTTCCCTCTCTCCATTGCATCTCCTCCCCGGGATTAAAACTGGAGAGAAGGGACTTCGGGCCGATCTCTTTAACCAAGCCTTGGGTGCTCATAGGCACATCCAGGAAAATCTTTGTGGTGGGGATCTAGGAGAGAGAGAGAGAGAGAGAGAGAGAGTCCAGCCAGAGGCAGGAGAGATTTTTTTTGTAAGCCTCCAAAAGGTTGCCGAAGACCATAGCTGGGAGAATCTTCTCCTATGGGAAGGGAGATCAGGAAATATTCTATTTAGGATGCTTGAGAATATCCAGGCCAGTGGAGGAAGAAGTCTGCAAAGCTTCGCATCTGTCGCAAGCTCCTCCAGAAACAGATCCGTGTTCAGTTCATTCATTTGTCCATCCTTTCCCTCTCTGTTTCTTTTCACTCCCTCTGTCTCCTTCTCTCTCCTCCTTTCCCTCCCTTCCTCTCCCCCCGTCATGTTCGCTCTTCCTCCTCCTCTCTTCTTGGTATAAAGCAAAGGAAAACAGTTGTAAACATGGAGGTCAAAGGGCCTTTGGCAAATACAGGTAGAGGCAGGCGGCATTTCTCCCAAATCTCAAATGTAGACCACACAATCCCGCTGACCCTTCACAAAAGCACCAATTAGCAATAACCTTCTCCTGTGAAACTCACCCACCTCTTCTGTATACATTTGAAATTAGTGAAGGAAATGCCACAGGGTTTGGCATTTAAAAAAACACCCTCATCAGATGAAAGCTTGTGTGGCCACAGAGTTCCTCATTCTTTAAAAGTGCCACAAGAGTTTCTTTCTCCTCCACTTTTAGGGTGACAAGAAAAACACAACACCGTTACTTAAAGGGAAATGGTTTGTAAGATGTCCGCAGCTTGCCGCCAGGTTTCGCCCACCCCAAAATCAAAAGCAAGCGGGCTGCTTTGATGTTTATCCCAGCTACAGAAGCTTTGAAAGGTAGGCCAGTGGGTGCCCTCTGGGTTTTTGGACAGCCCGCTCCCATAATTGCCCAAACGTAGAGGGGAATCTATTAAGATCTGGAGCCACAGATGTCGAGAAAAGCAAGCAACCGCCGGGGATGGCAATACCTCTCTTGAGAGCTGCTTTGAGCCATGTCCGTGCAAAAGGTCAAGTGAAAATCAAAGTAACAGGTACTATCAGGCAACCTTCCTCCACTTGGGGCCCTCCGTGTGTCGTGGACTACAATTCCATTTGCCCCAGTAAATACGACTGCCAAGGAGGGATCATGGAAGGAGCTGAAAACATCTGAAGGCCCCTGGTTAATGAAAGCTCTCCAAAGGCAACACCGTAATTCATCTACAAAGAGTAGGAGCGTGAACCTGTTTGTCTCTCCCTCGTGCTGTGACCCTGACCCTGATCCTAACGAGGTTTTATCCGCTCTGAACCCCAAAGCGATCAAAATGGAGGAATGGGTTCTGACCTTGGAGGCCAAGCCCGTTAAGACACCTCCGAGATCAGACCCGTCTCCTCTCTTTCTTTAACCAGACCTTCAGGAAACGCCACGACACGGGGCCACCGCGAAAGAATAAGGGCCGATCACGGAGACCGGTGTTTCCCAGCCACTAATGAGCAGCCGAAAGGCTCCGACTGGAGATCGTTATGACAATGGCGAGAGGAGAATAATGGGGAAGGGTGGAGGAGAGGAAGAGGCATCTACCATTGAGCCCAATGGACCCGGTTGCCATGGAGACCACCGTACATGGCGCTGGGCTTTTCTCCAAACACCCGAGGAGGAGGAGGAAAGGGTCATCCGGGCTGCAGAACATTCTCGTTAGAAGGCTGAGCTTCATTTCAAAAATCATAGGTCTGTGGAGGCGTGGCGCCTAGCCGGGGAGTGGGGTGGGGAAGCCGTCAGCTGCACATCTCCATTCCCGTCACCCCAAACCTGTCCATCCCATGCAACTGGGAGGACTCGTCCATCGGGGGGGGCAAGGGTCCTCCTGAGGGAAGCCCTCTTCAAGCCACCAGGGGTCCTGGCGAGGGGCTTTAGACTTTGGCTGGGGCTGCTTCTCAAGGGCGCGAGGCCTCCTAAGGAAATGAAGGACCCGCCTTGCAGTTCCAAGGCTGGCCACAGGGGGCAGCGGCAGAGGACGATCCCAACATAGCTCTCTCGAGCAAGCGAGATGTGCCGGCTGCCGGCTTCCAATGCGAGGTAGATTTCGGGAGGCTGCCAACTGTACAAAACGCGGCACCAGCTGGTGCTGAACCAGCCTCTCCCCACCTCTCCACCCTGCCGACCACGGAGCCGCTCATTTGTCAGTGCCAGGTCTCTCCCCAGCCAACGAAGCTGCACGGTAAACATAAATCGCGAGGAACATCTGTTCCGTGCTGGCATGGCTTCCCCGGACATGAGGCTCCCTCTTAAAAAAAACTAAGATGGTAGCTTGGCCTCTTGGCTACCAGCAAAGGCAGGTCCTGCTGACTCAGGAGCCATCCCGAGGCCTCCCTCCAAGATAAAAGGTAGAGGATGGACAGCTGGTGTTTATGCGTTGGCATGCATTTCCCCGACACTCCTTTCTCTTTTATTTATTTTTAAACAGACATTTGGGCCTCTGCCACAGTTACCTTGGCACTGCCAGGAAGGATGCTCGCCCTGAAGGTGCTCAAAAGCATCGCCTGCCATTTCAGAGTGTACTCGTTTGTTAAGAAAGCAGTGAATTCCTGCCTGGTCAGAAGCCTCAGGCCCTGCGGCTGAAGCCGGCCCTCCTGGGGCCCCGATCCAGCCCTCTGGCCTTTCTCAGAGGACCACACCCCTCCCTTCCAACACCGTCGTCCGATGAGTTCACCGCTTTTTGTACATTTCCTCCTCATTCTAAGCGGTGGGAAATCGCAGGGTTCCTCCCCTAAGGCTTGGTTACAGGCGTTAAAAGCTTCAAGCAAAATAATGGTTCTCTTTTTGGTCCCACCCCTTGCCCTTTGACCTTTCTTACCACCAGAAGGTGGCTTCCAGGAGCATCTCTGAAACGGATTATGGTCCTCATGTTGAAAGAGAGGGCCCCATCACTGAGTTACTAAAGGTACCCAGTTACTCTGGGGTCCAAAAGGAGGTGGAGGGAAGCTCGTCCTATATGTGCTAGAGTGATTAGGAACACCTTATTTGCAGCTTGCTCAGACACCCAGGGAGGAATTGAAGATGTAAAGACTTTCTTACACCCCTTGGCAAATAGATACAGAGAAGTCGCTGCGCAGACAGCACAATTGGTTTCCATTTGGCAGGTGAGGACGTGTAGCTGTGACAGCAGGAAATTTGGCCCTGCAAATGTTTGTGAGTCCCCACTCCCATCCTCCTCCATGAGTAGCCAGGATGATGGGCCTTGTGATCCCACTACACTTGGAAGAACCCATGTCAGGCAAACTCTTGCACTGACCCCTCAGTGTCTGAACAGCAGCTCCCTAATTTCAGGAGGGCCAAGCCGGCTGCAGCTGATGGGATCTGGTGTGCCGAAACATCACGGAGGAGCACAGAGTCCGAGAGTCAAAACAGTCATCTTTAAAAGCTATCTTTAAAACCAGAAGGGGAGCTTGAATGGCAGGATCTGTTACTTACACATCACATTGAGGAAGATGTTGCCGGAAGCTAGCACCACTTTCTCCCGGGTTGCTCTGTCATAAATTCCCACGTGACACTCGTAGGGGCCGTTGTCTGAAATCCGGACTTCGGGAAGCCTGGAGAGGTGAGAAATAAAAAAAAGAGACAGCAGTCTCAGGACCCAGGAGACACACACCGTCAGTTGCGTTTGTCACAAAATGCCCTACGATCACGTCAGAAGGGATGCCCTCCTGCGCCTACAGTCCACGGAGGACTCCCACGTGGATCCATTGTCTGCAGCCCCAGACAACAGGGAGAGAAAATGAAGGCTAGTCTTAAATCTTGTCTTTTCATGACATAAGCCATCTTTATCTACTCCTTGTTCTCAGCTTTAAATACTGTCATTCAATGTTGCAAGTAGCCTTGGGTCCTTTTTAAGGAGGAAGGCAGGGGCAAGAAATATTTTTAAAGAAATAATATAAATGGTTTCTAAGCCAAAATCTGACTCCCGGAGGTGGGAGTGAAGAAGAAAGAAAGAAAGAAAGAAAGAAAGAAAGAAAGAAAGAAAGAAAGAAAGAAAGAAAGAAAGAAAGAAAGAAAGAAAGAAACTGTATGAGTGGTTATAACTCTGGTTATTGTGGGTTCTGTTCCAGATGTTGCTACATAAAGTTTCTTTGTCCAGTAGACCTCTTACACAATTCACTGTCCACACACCATCACACCTGGTGTTTTGATCATCTTAAAGATGCAGTTGTGTTTTGGGACCTCCTCCCCATCTTTTTTTTTAATGACTCCCACTGGACAGGAGAGACGCCAGGCATGATCTGAGCACAAACTCAGAGAACCCAGAGACGATGCAGTCTGAGAGAGGCCACTGGGATTGATACATGAATGATCTCCCCTCCACCACCCCCTCCCTCCCCCTCTCCCCCAAAAAAGGGCAGAGGAAGGCAGAAGTGTCGTGGGAGTGGGTGAACACAGGCAGGAGGGAGGCCGACCGGGAACAAATCTATCTCCAGCTTCCACCCTTTCTAGACATTCCACCAACTAAGGTTTGCAAGGAAGAAAAAGTCTCTGTCCGTTTCTAAATGGAAATGGGGGGAACCGAGAAGGAGGGGGAACGAAAAAGGGAAAATTAGGACAAACTGGCAGATAAGAGAGGAGTTGGCGACCGGGGTTAAGCCGAAGGAGGCATTGATCTCTCTTCCCCTCCGTGCTCGTCGGTGACATTTCTCTGCTCCGGTATGAAATTCATCAAGTGACAAAACTTTAAATTAAAAACAGGTCTAAGGAGAGGGGAGGGGAGAGAGCGCCGAAGAGGCCACCAGGGGGGAAAAGTAACAGAAAATCAAAGTGTCCCCTACCCCGCTGCAGAGACCAATTTGGAGCAGGAACTAAAAAATGAGTCTCCGCAGAGAGCCGTGATGAAGGCTCCTTGGTAGAAAAAGACAGATTGCAGGAGGCCGCTGGTGGGGCTGGATATCAGGAGTTAATCAAAGAAAACTGGCACCCAGGGGAGTGCAAGGTTTAGGGAGGGCATTGGGGGTGTGTGTGGCTGGAAGGGGAGGATGGCAACATTACATCTAGGCCAAGGGCTGCCTCGTGCCCGAGAGCCCCTCCCCGGAAGGAGGCCGAATGGCAACTTCTCCTGGCAGCACAGGGAACCCTTCCTGGCATGGGGTGGGAGCAAGCCATTTGGGAGGGGGGGAGGAGGAGGAAGGAAACACCCACCATCGGAACAAGTTGGAACAGATCTCAAAGTTGTGGTTGTTTTTTAAAGGAGGGGAGAAAAGGGATGAAGCTCATCCTGGAGAACAGGATCTCTTGAGAACCGAGGACCTGGCCCTCGACCACGATTCCTGTGGGGTTTCCAGAACCCAGAGGACTTGACTTGGCTCACAGATACCCATGAAGGAAAGGAGAGTCGGTTGGGGATTTGCTAGTCTAGCCCTTTTCTTTTCCCCTAAACGGTGAAATATTATTATTACGATTATTGGGACCTGGCCAGATAAGGAGCGCTGGAAGGATATAATTGGGGGGGTGCATTGGGTGCAAGAAACGGAAGGGAATGAGCCGGCTGAAGTCCACAAAAGTTGCTGCTTGTGGATTCTTGGAAGTGCCACGAGAGTCTCGGCTGCTTTAATCTGCTGCATGTCAATGGTGCATTTCTCTATGTTCTAAGTTGGGTTTCCCGTGTGCTCAAGGACACCCTGTACCCATGGGTATCCACACCATCTAAGCAGGCAAGGATGATTGCTCTGGGGTTCCCGGGGTTTTTGAAGCCCTGCCAGGCCTCTGAGCAGAGGGCCCAAGAGCTGTCCATGGTGCTGATGGCTACTGGCAAAACAGGTGCCCCCCACCCTTCTTGGGGAGGTCAGACAAGGTTTCAGGAAGGAAGGAAGGACGAAAGGAAGGAAGGAAGTCTAATGAAGGCGGAAAAGAGGACATAGGGGCGGATACTTGACCTTATCTGGCAGTGCTTCCAAGAGACTCTTCCATTGCTCCTTATAATTTCCTGTCCCCTCTTGGAAGGAGGCATGTGGAGCCCAATGTGGGAGGTGTCCCCTCACACCCTGAAGGAGATTGGTGGGTGCCACTTCATTTGATCATGGAGAGATAAAGCCTTTTGGGGAGGGGGGGGAAAGCTTGTCATTGAAAACCTGAGCCGGACTTGATTTGATACGAGTCTCTCTCTCAATCCCCCCCCCCTGCCCATCCCGAGTAATCTAACCTCCCTATGGGTCCGCCTGTGCCTCTTAAGTGGATTAAGTAGACAGGAGAACTTTTTTTCCTCCCCTCCTGGGAATCTAGCCCCATCGATCTGCTGTCTGGTTAGTAGTCAGTATTCAGATAACTGGAGGAGGGAAAGGAGGGGGGGACGGAGCTGGTGGAGAGAGAACTGGAACGAAGCTTCTTCTCCTTCATTTTGGGTTTCCCCCCCCTCCACCTTTCCTCCGGTGATAGGGCTTAGGGATCAATAAACTATTAATAAACTGCAGAAGGTTTTAAGGAGAGGTCTGTGTAATGCAGTTTAGCAGCTGGAGTTTACCAACACTGACAGTTCCTCAGAAGGGTAAGTAATTGTGTTATTGCAAGGAAGGGGCGAGGTGTGAACGAAGTAAAAGCAAAGAGGGAAGAGGCCAGGCTGTACAGGAGAGGGTGAGGCCAAACCCTGGAGGGCGGGACTGAGTCAAGGCCCAGGTATGAGCAAGGGGGCAGCCCCCCCTAATTGCAGAAACACTGCCCCCCCCAGCAAGGTTAATGGGGGGAGGTCTGGTGTTCTGGTGGAAAGGATTTGAAGGTCAGGGGACAGGAGATCTGTCTTTCGTTCCCAGGCGGCAGGCCTCACGGGGCGGCTGTGAGGACAAACGATAGGAGGCGGAAGGTCATGCTGACCATAGCTGCACAACCAGTCTGTTGGAACGGAGCAGCCTTGGACAGAAGCTGCCCAAGGGCAAAGCAGCAGTGGGGAAAATTAGGGCCATTGGACTCCATTTCCCATCAGCCACAGTCAGTGAGGCCACTGATCAGGAAAAGTGGAAGGTCGAATCCAACAACATTCAGAGGGCCAACTGTCAAAAGAACCCCAGTCTAATGAGTCTGTTTTTGGAAACAGTGCTCTTTCGAGTAGAGAAAGAGATCTCTTTGTCACAGCTGACACTTTTCCTGGCTTACATATTTTGCATAGGGTGTGCCTTGCTTTGTGATTGGCTATTGGAGGTAAACATAGGTTTAATTTCTGGTCTGACTATGGAGGAACAAAGGTCTGGAGGTCCCTATCATCACAGGGGAAACCTTGTTAATCAGGAAAAAAATACGTATTCCCTTTGACATCTCATCTGACATTTTTATGACCATAGGGAGCTGATCTCAGTTATTCGTGTCACTTATGACTACTAGCGGTTCTCTGAGGAGGAAGAACATATGCAAGTGCATGCCATGACATCACAGCAGGTTAACCAATGGCCGGTTAACAGGCTCATGAAACGTAATCAAGTTTTGGACTTGGATTGCTTTGATGCCATCACTGTTTTCCCCCCTTCCCTTCCCTCTGCAAGGCCTGCAATGCGAAAACAGCTGGCGTTCGCTCGGTGGCTGCTCCCGGCTCCATGGGATGAAAACCAGCCAGCGTGTTTCATTTAAATATGTTTGGTTGATCCAGACATCTCTAACGAGGGCCAATTAATCCACCGGATGAACACGGAGATACGGGACTCGGGGAAAAGAGCGGCAAGAGGGGAGCAAGGCGGCTGTGAAATCTCGGCTTGTTTGGTGGCGGGTTTTGGAGATGCTTTCAGCGAGAGCTGAACTTTCCTTCCGAAACTTTTAAAGGACTGTTAATGGCTTCTCATCTCCCAGCAGCCTCTGCCACCCCCACCATCTCCTCTCAGCTCTTAAACCACCAGAAGCAT